AACAACCCAGGTCCTAACACTACTTGTAATATTCAAACTGGCTGCGCCATCAGGATAGCTGACAGTCTACAGCTCCGTTTTTCTCCTTATTCACTGTTTTCATTCAGGTTCTTCTCCTAGTTGGTATTTAATCCACTTCTGTATCCTTCCTTTCAAAGCTCAGGATTCCAGGATTATCTTCTGTATCTGTGTCAATTGGTTTCTTTTCTTTGTTGAAGACAGTCTGGGTAGCTTGTCTGTCTATTCTGCCATCTTACTGGAAGTCTAAAGTTAGTTTACACTCATAGCAACCCTATGTACAACAGAAGAAAACATTGCCCTGTCCTGTGCCATCCTCATGATCATTGCTATGTTTGAGTCCACTGTTGCAGCCAATGGGTCAATCCACCTTCTGAGGGTCTTCGTCTTTTTCCCTGATTCTCTACTTTTCCAAGCATGACAACTTTCTTCAGGGACTAGTCCCTCCTGATTTTGTGACAAATGTATGTGAGACAACGTCTTGTCATCTTCCTTCTAAGACACATTCTGGCTGTATTTCTTCCAAGACAGATTTGTTCTTTCTTTTGGCTGTCATGGTACACTTAACACTTTTCATTAACTCCATAATTCAGAGACATCAATTCTTCTGCAGTCTTCCTTATTCAATGTCCATCTTTCACATGCATATGAGCTGACTGAAAATATTATGGCTTGGGTCAGGTGAACTTTAGTATTCAAAGGGACATCTTCACTTTTTAATACTTTAAAAGAGCTCTATTGCAGCAGATTTGCTCAATGTAATATGCTGTTTGATTTCCTGACTGCTGCTTTGATGGATGTTGTTTATGGATCAAATAAAATGATCTTTGATAACTTCAATATTTTCTCCATTTATCATGATGCTGCTTATTGATCCATTTGTGAGGATTTTTGTTTTCTTTATGTTGAGGTATAATCCAGACATTTTATTGTGATTTGGGTGAAGGTTTATACAGCAAATTAGTTTCCCATTCAACAATTCAAACATATTTTGTTTCATGACATTCATTCACGTAACATTTTTCTTTTTTTACAAAAAAATAACTGATTTTTAAAAAAGGAAAAAGTGTGTTCTATAATATTTTTCCCAAATTCATTTAATGTCAGTTGGATATTTATAGCTGCTACTGTTTCCAATTGCAGTATGCTTTCTGTTGGCAATATGCTGTTTTTATTGATATACATTAAGAAAACCAAGTCTTACACAGTAGTTGGAAAAGTAGTAGTGTTTTAATAGCTTTTTCAGATAACTATGGATATTCATCTTTGACAGCACACCAAAATTTAACAAGAGGTAGCTTCTTCTCAAAGGTTAGCTGAGAAAATGACGGTGGATTCTGACACTTATCAGTGAACTTCTCATACTCATTACATTAAAATTCTTTAATGTATCAGACAATGGGGCTCTTTCATCCATGTGTGATTTTTCCAAAAATTGTGGTAAAACATGTATATAATGCAACATTTGCTATTTCTACATTTTCTATATATACACAATTCAATGACACTGATTACATTAATCATGTTGTACAAACACCACCTGCATCCATCACCAAATTTCCCATAATCATAAACAAAGACTCAGTGCTTCCTAAACAATGCTTCCTCCTCCCTTGTTCCTGCCCTTGGTAACTAACACTAATAAACTGTGGTCTCTATACATTTGCCTATTCTAGGTATTTCATGTAAGTGAGATCATGAAATATTTGTCCTTTAGTGACTGACTTATTTCCCTAAGCCCAATGTTTTCTTTTTTAAAAATCTTTACTGTACTCTGGGTGCAAATTTACATAGCAAACTTGTTTTATGTTCAACAGTTCATGGACATTTGATTTCACGGCACCAATTACAGCGCCCAACTGTAAAAAAACTCTCTTCCCCTCTCCCCCCACCCCGTGACCACACCCCCCCTGTGCCCTTCTCATCCATGCATTCCTGTCTGTCTAGCTTTCCCTCTATGTGAGTGCTACCCCTCTGGTGTCTCATGGCTGATTGATCCAAGGGGTGCATCTCCCTAGAGTAGGTAGGTACATCAACTGTGGGTAGGTGTTCTATATGTAGGTCTTTCTATTGTTGGGCTGAGAGCCAACCCATGTTAGTGAGTCCATTTCTAGGCCCAAAAGGTAACCTGGGGGCACAGTCTCGGGGGTTCCACCAGTCTTTCTCTGACCAGCATTCTGGTCATTTTTATGTTTTTGAATTTTGTTCTACATCTTTCCTCCCACTCAATCCAGGATCTTCAGATTTGATCCCTTTCTGAATGGCTGGCATCTCAGGTCATGGAGGCTGAGGTCCTCATGGTCCATCTTATTTCGGACTAATTGTTTCCAGATGACTTTGATCTTCTTCACTCTTCTCTGTTCCAGACGGAGCAATAGTTGCATCTCAGATGGCTGCTCGAAAGCTTTTAAGACCCCAGTCACTATTCACCAAATTAGGTTGCAGAACAAAATTTTTATGAACTATGTGCGTCAACTGAGCATGATGTCCCCAAGAGCACAGTCCTGACCCCCCAGGCCTGGTGATTCTCTTTTAGAAGATGTTTGGTTGTCTCTGAAAAGTTACTCCAACCCTGTCTTCTGTTGAACTCAATGTTTTCAAAGTTGATCCATGCTATTGCATCTGTTAGGACTTTCTCTTTACAGTGTGTTTATCCATTCATCTTCTGATGGTCAGTTAGGCTGTTTCCACCTTTTGACTATCTGAATAGTACTATAATGAACACTGATATACATGTTTCTGTTTGAATTGCTGCTTTCAAGTCTCATGGGTATATACCTAGGAGAGGAATTGCTGGGTCATATGGTAGTTTTATGCTTAAGTATTTGAGGACCTGTCAAACTATTTGCCATAGTGGCTGTACCATTTTGCATTCCCAATGGCAATAGCTGAAGATTGCAATTTTTCTACATCCTTGCCAAGATTCATTGTTTTCCATTGTTTTTGAATCTTAGCCATCCTACAATCTTCCTAGTGAGGGTAGAGTAGTATCTCATTGTGGTTTTGATTTGTATTTCCCTAGTGGCTAATGAGGAGTTCCTGTGTGGTACAAAGCATTGGGTTACTAACGGGTGGCAGGGCTGCTTTATAACACAGAAGTATAACACTTCACATTTTATCACACAGAGTATTAATAAGATGTGTATTCAAGTGTTGGGATTTAATTAAATCAATTTTTCAATGCTTCATCAACATTCTAAATTGAAAAGAGCTTTAAAAAAAAAAAAAAAAACCCCAACAACCCAAAGCAGCAAAAAATATAGTAAGTACCAATACAATCTGGTGCCACCACTTTGATTCCTGCTGAGGCATGAGTAATTTTACCTACCATTGCTTTTGCAACATCAGGGCAAGGTAAACATAGAAACAAAGGCAAATTAATTTTACTATTATAATGAAAATAAATTTGACCTCACAGACCATTTAAGAGATCCCAGGAAAACTGGATGAGAAACAAGTAGTGAACATTTACCTGTTTCTTCTTTTCAGTGGGTGACAAGCATTTAGCACCAATCTTCTGAGCTTCCTCAAAAAGGCTATCCACAAAATAGTCACAATTCCTTTGATGATTACCACTAACAGGTGGGTTTTCAGATCCTGTTTCACAAACCCTAAAACAAAACAAAACAAAAAAAAAACATTGCTACTAAGTCATCTGACTGCTAACTAGAAGGTGGGCAGTTCAAACCTACACCAGCCACTCCTCGGAAGACTGGGCAATCTACTTCTGTAGAGATACCGCCTCGGAAACTCAAGAAGGGGTTGCTATAAGTTAGAATTGACTCAATGGCAGTGAGTTTGGGTTTTTTTTATTGAATTCTCTAAAAATTTACATAAATTGTTCTAGTTAAGGGATTTTGAACTGAGATGCTATCTCTATGTCCATAATTCAAGCCATCTTCTAAGTTAAGATAGACGTGTAACTTTGGAAAGGCAAGAAACATAACCTCTCTGAGATTTGGTTCCTCATGTGTAAAATGCAGATACCTGCACCATTCTCATGTGGTTGTTGTGAATATTTAATGAAAATATATATAAAGGCCTATATAGAGTGCCTAGCACACCATAAGTTCTCAAATATTACATAATAATATCCTTATCATCACTTTATACTTTCTAGTATTTAATTGCTCCTTTGGTTCAGAAAGCAAGTGGTGCTTAATTTCTAACTATTAAATACAAAGTAAGGAGCTCTGGTGGTTCAGTGCATAAGGCATCTAACTACTAACCAGAAGGTTGGTGGTTCAAACTCACCAGCTGTTCTGTGGGAGGAAGAGGAGTCAATCTACTTCTGTAAAGATTGACAGCCTTGGAAACCCAATGGTGGTCATTATGAGTCAGAATTGACTTGATGACAGTGGGTTTGGTTTTTATAAGCACAAAGTTGTCAAAGATTTTGTTTTACTCAGATACACGGTCAATACCCATGGAAGCAGCAGTCAAGAAATCAGACGTCATATTGCACTGGGCAATATGCTGCAAAAGAGTTCTTTAAAGTGTTGAAGAGCAAAGATATTACTGTGAAGACTAAGGTGTACCTGACTCAAGCCATGGTATTTTTAATTGCCTCATATGCATGTAAAAGCTGGACAATAAGGAAAACTGAAGAAAAATTTATGCCTTTGAATTGTGGAGTGGATGAAGAATACTGAAAACAACATGGACTGCCAGAAGAATGAGCATATCTGTCCTGGAAGAAGTGCAGCTGGAATGTTCCTTAGAAGTGAGAATGGTCAGACTTTGTCTCACCTACTTTGGTTATGTTGTCAGAAGGAACCAGTCCCCTATGCTAGTGGAGGGTCAGAGAAAAAGGGAAAGACTCTCAATGAGATGCACTGACACAGTGGCTGCAAAGATGGGCTCAAGCATAGCAAGGATTGTGAGGATGGCACAGCACCAGGCAGTGTTTCATTCTGTTGTATACAGGGTCACTATGAGTCAGAATAGACTCAACAGCACTTGACAATTCACAAGTACAAGGACAATAAAGCTTAGCATCAAAAATTTCTACGTAACTCTTCAAGAAAGATCAGCCAGAAATCATCCCTTCTATCAAAAGAAGGCTTATGTAATATGGCTTATGATGATAACATAAACACAAAGTAAAAACCACTAACATATTACACCACTACAAATAAAAGCTTCAGTGGGAAATCTCATCCTGAAGTGTGAGAAGACAAATATACAGTAACATATAGTTGCAACAGAACATAACTACAATAAATACCTAATCTCTTGCACAATGGATTTTGACCCGAGTAGGAAATAGGCAACAGTGCCCTATTGAAAGATGACAGCCAACAGTGCCATTTTGAATGCGTGTCTGTAGCCATTTTTGAGCAAGGTACTATTGCCTGTTTTCTATTTGGGTCAAAATCCAAAGGGATTTGGTTACTATGCAATGTGTATGCTACCCTTGTTTCCATTAGCCATGACTGAACCATTCTAAACTGTTCAAAGGCCTCTTTAATACTAATATATCGACATTTTCTACTCTACCATCATTTCCTTACTTGTCATCATTACTTATTTCTTTTTTTTTTTAATTGAGTTAACCAAGGATTGTTTGTCCCAATCTGATACATGAAATTATAAGAGATTTAGACCTTACAGAATTTTCACTTGGTTTACAAAACCTGAATGTTTCAAAAATCTTAATGTCATTGGAGTGCAATGTGCGATTCAGTTCCTTTTAGTTTTTTTTTTTGCCTCCTCTGAGAAATCTTGCATCTTTACTTCTTAAAAATTATACACACATACATCTAAAATACCAAAAACTGGATCATATCATATAGTTTTTCTTTTTTTTGCATTTTTTTTAAATTTATTGTGATTTGGGTGAAGATTTACAGAGCAAATTCACTTTCCATACAGCAGTTCACATATACTTTGTCTCATGTCATTGACCACAGTTTACCACAATGCAACGGCTCCCCTCCCACTTCCTCCCCATAGTTACCTCTTCCCAGTGTCCATCCCTCCATACTCTCCTGCCCCTGAGCTGTCTCCCTGTGCATAAACAGCCCTTACTTCTCCCATGATTGTTCTCTCCACGGCGTGTCTACTTGAGGTAAATGTTTAACTCACATGCCTGTACATTGTTTGGCTGGCAACCACAGGTGTGGGTTCAATTCCAAACCTGAAGGGCAGCTAGGGGCCATAGTCTCAGTGGTTCCACCGGGCTCTAATGGACCAGCAAACCTACTCCTCAACTTCTTTTTTTCTTTTTTGCCTTCAAATGATTTTGAGTTTTGTTCCACATACTTATTTATTTCTATTGTGGTACAAACATATATATATATAAAATATATAAACATCTGCCAATTCAACAATTTTTTAAAATTTTTATTGTGATTTGGGTGAGTTTACAGAACAAATTCATTTTCCATATAGCAGCTCACATACATTTTGTCTCATGACTGATTGCAATTTCCCACAATGCAACAGCTCCTCTCCCATTTCCTCTCCATAGTTAAACCTCTTCCCTGTGTCCTTCCCTCCAGTGTACTCCTGCCCCTCGAGCTATCTCCCTGTGCATACAAAGTCCTTCTACTCTCCCATGATTGATCTCCCCATGGAGTATCTGTACCTAATGTAAATGTTCAGCTTATATGCCTCAATTCAACAATCTTTATGTGTATAATTCAGTAATATTCATTTTGTTCAACCACTGTCACTATCTTTTTCCAAATCACTTCACCACTGTTTTGGTCACTTGTGCTGTTCTAACAGAAAATACCACAAATTGGATGGCTCAAACAAACAGGAATTTATTCTCTTAAAGTTTTGGAGGCGAGAGTCTGAGTGCAAAGTGCCTGGCTCTAGGGGTTGGGTGAAAGCCCCTTTGACCTTAGGCTTCAGTTCTGCCTTTCACTCCCGGCTCACTAAAGCTGGAGGCTTTCTCCACTCAGGCAGCTCCTAGTTGCTGAGGCTGACAAACCAAGATCGACAAGTATTACCAAACCACACAGCAAGCCACTGATTCAAATCCATTAAGAGCCCCAAGATCGGCAGACAACACAGCAGGCTACTGAACAATGACTCAGCTATGGATGAGATTCAAGTGTGCCAAAAGCTGGAGACCTTCCTCAAAGCTGCTTCTTATATACTAGAAGCAGTTCCCGAAGGCAGCTACTCAGCTGATCTAGCAGATTCCACCATGGAGCTGATTACCAATCTCACCGTAGGGAATAACTACATCCAGCTGCCCAGCCACTCAAAACCAGGCCCAGCCAAGTAGACACATAACTTTAACTACCACAACTACCATTAACATAAACTCTGTGCCTCCTTTTTCTCCTCCCTTAGACTTGGTAACCACTAATATGCTTTGTTTTCTATTTGCCTATCTCATATAAGTGAGATCATACAGTACTTGTCCGTTTATGACTGACTGACTTCACTCAAGTTTCAAGGTTCATCAACGTTGCATGTTGCATATTACATTATGGCCGAAGTAACAGTCCAATGTATGTATGCACCACATTTTGTTTATTCATTCATCTGCTGGTGGAAATTTAGGTTGTTTCCAACTTTGGCTACTGTGAAAAGGGCTGTAATGAACACCTGAACAGGTTTCTTTTTGCATTCCTGCTTCTAAATCTTTTGGGTATAGTCCTAGGATTGGGATTGCTGCGTCAAATGGTAGTTCTATGTTCAACTTTTGAGGAAACATCAAACTATTTTCCACAATAGCTATACCACTTTGCATTCCTACCAGCAATGCCACACTAATGGAGGTGACAGGAGGTATCATATTATTTTCCATTTCCCTAATGGCTAATGTGAGGAACTCTGGTGGCAAAGTGGTTAAAGCACTCAGCTGCTAACCAAAAGGTCAGTGATTCAAACCCACCACCTGCTCCCCAGGAGAAAGATGTGGCAATCTGCTTCTGTACAGATTAATAATCTTGGGACTTCTGGTAAGATGGAGGAATAGGCAGAAAAGCGACACAAACCTTCATCAACAAAGAAAAGAAAAACTAATTGACAGAGATACAGAAGATAATCCTGGAGCCCTGAGCTTTGAAAGGAACTATACATAAGTGAATTAGGCAGCAACTAGTGGAAAAACCTGAACGAAAACAGTGAGTACAGAGACGGACAGAGGTGCAGACTATCAGCTACTCTGACGAGACCAACAGCCTGAATATTACCAAGTGGTGTTGGGACCTGAGAATTGACCTAAAGATTAACCCTGGTCACCAAGGGCTGCAGGGATGACTGCACTGGTGGCCTATGACTAGGAAGGGAAACAGCAAGGAGGGAGACAACCTGAGCTGTTGATTTTCCACTGTCCAGAGGGCGCAGCCATTTTGATTGTT